GCGAGTGACTCACGCCTGCTGTAACGCCAACATTCCAGTGCTTCCATGCCGGTGCACCACGTGCCCATCATTCGTGGACTCTCAACCATAAGCAATGTGCTGCCTTCGCCTCGTGCACGGTATAACATTCCCGCTCGCTTGACTCCGTCCCATTTCTTTGGCCCCTGCGTGCTCTTCACTCTTCACAGATTCATCGCCAGGGATGTCACCAGGGATTATAGCAGCAATTGCGGTCGGCATTGTTTGTCTTGTGCTGCTAGTTTTCCTGGTCGGTTTCTTTGTGTGGCGACGCCAGCAGCGCAAGGAGCATCATCATCCCGAGACTGCAGCGGTGCAATAGGCATTGAAGGTAGGCGGACGGGACGATGATGAGGAGGAGGGTCGACCAGGTATGATGACTGATAAGCTTCTGATATGCTTCGTTGACGAGTCTGAAGCCTATTCTCTTGCTGAATTTCTACCTTGCATTTCTGCTTCCCTCAAAACATCCTCCCAACACCTCTGCTTGCATTTCGACATCTTTGTAGCCTCTCTTTCCCCATGGCCCCCGTTCTCCCTGGTCCCCCCTCCTCCCCGCCTCCCCGGAGCACCAGCCCCAGCAGCAGCACGTGGGCCGGTGGTGTGTCGGGAGCTGCCGTACTGGGAGGTCGTGGAGGCAACGAACGAGTGGTCGGCAGGCAACCTGATCGGGCGAGGGGGCTACGGTGACGTGTACAGGGGAGTGGCACCGTCGGATGGCACCGTGTGGGCTGTGAAGCGCGCCCGCGTCATCACCAAGGACTTCCGCCGAGAGGTGCATGTGTAGAGGTGCAAGCGCTGGGAGTTCAATTGTGGTGCAATGGCGCTGCTGTGATGAATGCGTTTGTGTGTGTGCATGTGTGCGTGTGGGCATGTGTGTGTGTGCGTGCATGTGTGCGTGATACATTACAGAGTGCAAGCGCTGGGAGTGTCTGCGTGAGTGCATGTGTGTGTGAGTGCATTTGTGTGTGAGTGCATGTGTGTGTGAGTGCATTTGTGTGTGAGTGCATGTGTGTGTGAGTGCATTTGTGTGTGAGTGCATGTGTATGTGCGAGCATGTGTGTGTGGGTGCATGTTTGCGTCCATGCATGTGTATGTGCGTGCGTGCGTGTGTGCGTGCGTGTGTGCATGTGTGCATGTGTGCGTGTGCGTGCATGTGTGTGTGTGTGCGTACATGTGTGCGTGCGTGCATGTGTGTGTGCGGGCACGCGTGCATGCATGCATGTGTGCATGCGTGCATGCGTGCATGTGTGCATGCGTGCATGCATGTGTGCGTGTGCGTGCATGTGTGTGTGTGTGTGTGTGTGTGTGTGTGTGTGTGTGTGTGTGTGTGTGTGTGTGTGCGTGCATGTGTGTGTGCGTGCATGTGTGTGTGCGTGCGTGCATGCGTGTGCGTGCATGTGTGTGTGCGTGCATGTGTGTGTGCGTGCATGTGTGTGTGCGTGCATGTGAGTGTGCGTGCATGTGTGTGCGTGCATGTGTGTGTGCGTGCATGTGAGTGTGTGCAAGCATGGTGCAAGGGCGCTGCAGCGCTGATAGCCGCCTCAGGTGCCGTGCCTGCCTCCCTGGCAGGATGAGTGCCACTAAAGATGTGTGCTTATGCTTACGGGAGGAATCAGATGAGAGATGGCAGTTGTGAGAAGGTGAAGAGGAGACATATGCGAGTTGTGCGGTTGGAGCGTGTCACAGATACCATGCTGCTGGATGATGTGTGCGAGCATGTGTGCACCATTGCCATACATGCCACAACATAACCACCAGGTACTTGCAAACTTGAATTTCAATTAAAAGAATTGGAAGGCGTGTGACACGAAGAAAATCAAGTATTTTTTCCCGGCAATGATTAGATTGCTCTCAGCGCACCGCACTCAAGTCACCACACACGTGGGTACAGAGGTTGGTGTATTCCGATTCCGTCGATCTAGTGGTGTACCCACTGCAAGTTCATTGCATTGACAACTACCATCACCTGGCGTGGTGCATGATATGGCATGGTGCATGACATGGCATGGTGCATGACGTGGCATGGTGCATGACGTGGCATGGGCAGGTGGAGCAGATGGCATCGAAGCACCACCCGCACCTGGTGCGGCTGCTGGGGTACTGTGTGCACATGGATGCGCGCACGGAGCAGCACGAGCAGATCGTCGTCTACGAGTTCATGCCCGGCGGTGACCTGCAATCCTGCATGCCCGCCCACCCCGCCGACGCGCCTGAGAAAGGTGGGGAGTGTGGAAGGGTTGGGAGTGGGGGAAGGGTGGGAAGAGTGAGGGGGATGGGGCATTGGAAAGAGATGGCCTACTGTGCTGTCCGACATGGGTGCATGTGTGAAGGTCAATTCAAAGTGGGTGACGGTGAAAGCAAGGATGAACGTGCAATTGCAGGTGCATATGTGAATAAGCCATCCCACAATCTCCATAGCCCATTCCGATTGTGCCTCCACCTTCCCCTCCTCCCATCACACACACACTCCCAGGCGCCACACGGGCGCCTCTGTCGCTGCAGCAGCGCGTGCAGGTGCTGGTGGGAGTGGCGCGTGGGCTGCAGTACCTGCACAGCTTTGGCATCGTGCACCGCGACATCAAACCCGCCAACATCCTGCTCGATGCCCACATGACGGTCAGCACACACACTCATGCCTATATAATGGTCAGCACACACACGTGCCAAATGCACCCATGCACGCCACGCATACATTCGCAAACACAATGACAAATCACCCAGGCAATGTCTATTATGGATCGTGTTTTGGTCTATCCGTGCTGATTATCTCATGTACATTCGTTAATCTTTTGTACAAGTGTTTCCTTTTGTAGGGTAAGTAGCCTTCCATCTGCCTCTCCTTCCTCTTCATTCCACACTGCATTCTTCCACACGCCCGTGCCCTCCATGCACGGCAACGTGGCAGGCCAAGGTGGCGGACTTTGGGCTGGTGAGGATGGGCGATGAGAGCACGGGAGACACGACGCGCATTCTCGGAACACCGGGCTATGTGGACCCCGCATACTCCAAGTCGCGCAAAGCTGCCCCCACCAACGACGTCTACAGGTGGGCCGCGCCTGCTGCCACCGTGCCTCGTGGAACGCTGATGGCCGGCGGTACAGTGGCTGGTGGTGTGCTGTGCTGGTACCAGTGAGTGCGAATCTCGTAGACTCCTATATTCAAGTGCCATTTAAGTGGTGCTTAGGTGGTGCTGGCTGGTAAGCACTATGGGTCTTTCAGGTGGATGGATCTTAATTCCATGCTGCGCCCTGTCCACTGGGTCTTCCTGCCATGTCGACCATGATGTTCTGCTTAATGATGCGTTTTCTGCTTCGTGCCTTTCCATGCTGCCATATCAGGGCTGAAACATACACCTCACCAGCCTATGCAACCCATGCTGCACCTTCCACTCTCTTTGTAGCACCGCATCTTATGTCATTGGCGAGTGTTGTGCATCCACTGGCATGTTGACATGTATGCATGCTGTGTGTGGCATGGGTGGGAATGGGGTGTGCATACTGTGTGGCATGAGCAGCTATGGCATAGTCATGTTGGAACTCTTCACATCCCAGAGGGCAATCCTGCAGGAGGGAGACCACAACATCAACATCAGGCAATGGGTAATCTGTGCACTTTGCACTAGCCTTGTGCGCGTCAATCCGAGTCTTTTTCCGCCCATTACGCCAACCTTGTTGTTGTTGTTGTTTTTATTTTGTTTTTTTTGTTTTTTTTTTTTTTTTTTTTTTTTTTTTTTGCGTTCCCTGCCCCACAGTAATAGCCCATAAGATGGCATTATTTCAACTGGTTGTTGCTTTTTTCGTTGCATGCCCTTGCAGGCGGAGCCGCTGCTGGCAGCATTGGATGCCGAAACCCTCAAAGACCCATGCCTTGATGCTCCGCCTGAGGTCATTCTTCAACTGACCCAGCTGGCCCTGCAGTGCACAAGCATGCCTGTATCAAGCCGCCCCCACATGGACCAGATTGTAGTCAGACTGTCTGACTTGTATACGCGGCTTTTTGGGTCTGGCGTGGGTGGAAATCTGGAATCTGTTGACTCGATTCTTCAGCGTGTTGAACATCCGGATTACTCGTTCGATGAGGCGATTGCAATGGCTGATTCTGCAGGAACCCAAGGATCTTCTGTCTAGTACTGCAATATGTCTTCCGGACATAAGACTACGTGTTCTAGTACAATAGTCTAGTGAAGTGTATGTAGAAGTATGGCATCTCTTCGCTAGCGAACCCCCCGTAGAGTGGAGTTCCCCCCTGTTGGAAACAATTAATTAACGCTCCTGTTGTGTCGAAACATGGAACTACAAACGAGGCGAATTACAGCGAAGCAATGGCGAGTCAACCGAAGAGGTTGACAGAAAGTAACAGCTGGAGGTTACGCGATGGTCAAAGGTCGCCGACCTTTGACTTGACGAAAGGCAGCGCGACAGCAAGCTCTGGCACCTCTGATACCTCCAGCTCTAAGAGGACCTCCAGCACCTCCAGGACCAGCAGCTCCAGCGCCTCCAGCTCCAGAGTCTCGAGCGGCGGGCCCCCCAGCTCCAGCAGCGCCACTCCGAAGGCAGGTGCGCCGAGCAAACCACTCGCGCAGCTGCAGTGGAGAGAGAGGCTCCCGCCGTGACGAGGCACCCGTAGGACCGTTAAGGGACACAGTTCCTCTAGGCTCAGCACCCCGAGACTCAGAACCCCCAAGCTCCGCACGCTTAGGCTCAGCACCCCCAGGCTCAGCACCCCCAGACTCAGCAACCCCAGGCTCAGCAACCCCAGGCTCCACACCCTCAGACTCAGCAACCCAGGCTCAGCACCCCCAGGCTCCGCACGCTCAGGCTCAGCACCCCCAGACGCAACACCTCTAGCAGCACCCCCCCCAGGAGCACCAGAGTCGACAGCCACCTCGACAGGCTCAGCCAAGGGGGGTGTGTCTACCTGAGACACACTTGAGGGAGCAGGACCCTGAGGGGGGAGGGGGTCTACTGGAGGTGGACCTGGTGCGAGGAAGAGTGGTGGGGGGAGGGGGGGGGGGGGAGAGGGGCAGTGCAGTAGGGGAAGAGACGGTAAAAGGGAACTGACTAGTGAAACGTGACGTCCTGAGAGGGGAGGACACGGCGCGAGGTGGGGTGGTAAAACTGCCAGCGAGGCGCGTCAAGGGGAAAGCCAAGGAAGACGCAGGGAATGGCGCGGGAGGAGAGCTTGTCCGCGGAAGTATCGCGGACAAAGGCACGAGAGCCGCAGACCTGGAACACCGACGCATCGCCAATCTCCCCCGTCCAACGCAGTGTAGGCGAGGTCTCCGGCAAGGAGACACGGGGCCAGAGGTTGAGCTGATGCGCAGCGTACCGGACCGCAAACCGCCACAGAAAATGGGGAGCAGTCGCATGGATCATGGAGGTACGAGCGACCTCTATGACTAAGCCAATGCAGCGCTCAGCAACCCCATTCTTCTGTGGAGAAGCCGGAAGCGTGAACGACTGGCGAATGCCCTCCCCACGACAAAAGTCCTGCAAGAGGTCGGAGGCAAACTCACCACCTCTGTCAGAGTGCAGACGCAGGACACGAAGGTCCATCTCGAACTGCTCGCGGAGCTGGAGACGGACAGCGTGGATCTAAGGGATCAAAACATCAGGGACCTCCCCTTTGCCGCTCAAGGGGAAGACCGTGGTGTAACGCGAGTAGTCGTCAACAACCAGTAGAAAGTACCGCTTGCGGCCCTGTCCACGGATGCAGGCTGGGCCCCACACGTCCATGTGAAGAGTCTGCAGGGGAGCCTCTGTCGGGGGAAACGAGGAGGAGTGAGGATCAGCGCGCTGCTGCCCCTCGACGCAAGGAAGGCAGAGCGGAGCAGGCGAGCGCGGGAGGGCAGGGAGAGACCTGGGAAGACCAGAGACAAGGAGACAGGAGTGCATACGTGGCAGGGAGGGGTGACCAAGACGGTCGTGCCAAAGGAGAGTCTGGTGCGACAGGTGGCGACACGAGTAGGGGGCTGAAAGCTGGTTTGATGCAGACGCAGACGTGGCTACCTGAGAAGGCTCAGTAGTCAGTGTGTACAGACTCGACTCAGGCCGACAGGTGAACGTGGCCAGGTGACGGCCCGTCCGTGTACACGTGCAGATCGACACATGCTGACCCCCAGAAGTGGAGGGCAGCGGTACTCGCCAAGTTCGTAGAGAACGAGGGGAGGTGAAGACCTGAGGCTGAGCCAGACGGAACCGCCGGACACGGGAAAACAGTGGAGGAATGTGCAAGAACTGGGCCCCCTGAGGGGTCAGCCAGTCTGACAGCAACAGGTGTAGGGAGTGGTGTGACTGTGGTACTGTCGCGAAAGAAGCAGCGGGAAGCACCTGAGTCAAGCGTGAAGGTGTGCAAGGCCTCAGCAGGCGCAGTACAAGGGAGAGCAGACTCACTAGCACCTAGAGCAGCAGCCTCTATACCCGGGTCGGGCGGCATATACAGGTAACAGTCACCCTCAGTACTAATAGTCAATGCATACATGGCAGCAAGGATAGCATCATAGTCAAGAGCAAAGATATCAACACCCTGCCTAAGCAGTTCTGCCCAGCGGGGGAGCTCAGTCGGGTCGGGAAACTCTGGGCGAAAGGCGTCGTCAAAACGAGAGAAGCAGCGGTTCTGGGTGAGAAGCTTCCCGCATGTCTGACCAGTGCGGACACCTGTGCGAATGACATACGGGCAGCGACCACTACCCCCAGACGCCCCACACTAAGTAAACCACTAACGAAGCTGCTGGGGCGAAGGGGTCTCGCTCGGATGCTGCTGGTGCTGCCTCTGGCCACCGCCAGAACCTCCCCTCTGACCAGCTCCACCCCGACCGCCACCACTGCTACCGCCACCACCCCCACTGCCACCACCACTGCCGCCGCCACCACCCCCACTGCCGCCATCACCGCCGCCACCACCGCCGCCACCAACTCCTCCACTCCCACCACCACTCCCTCCGCCACCACCGCCACCTCCACCTCCTCCACCGCCCCCGCCACCGCCTCCACCGCTGCCACCCCCACGACCCTGGCCTCCCTTGCCCCTGCTGCTGTGGCGCCTCCCACTAGGAGCAGACGCAGCCCCGGCCTCCTTGGCACGAAGGAAGTCAACAGCAGCAGCAAAAGCGATAGAGGGGACAAGGGGGGAGGGGGAGCACCCCTCAAAGAAGGGAGTGCGAGGAGTGCCACGAGAAGTGCCTACAGCGACTATGCAAGTCTCAGCTGCAAGGAGGTGC